CTGAAAAGCTTTGTGTCCCGCCAGTTTCATTTGTTGGAAGCTTCATTAAATGTATTTTAATGCCTTGTCTAGTTTTGATGTTCTTGGGTGACCTGATTTTTTTAAAAAACATCATTTCAGATGCCCTGTATAAATCATTACTACAATAAACTCCTTGTTAGTGAAAAATAATAAGACTTAATGCTCAGACTCATAGAAAACATTGTAGTGATGACTTCCTTCCTAATTCCTTGCATTCAGCGAAGCACTGAATTACTTCCAAACATGTTATAAACATGGTGTTGCAGCAATAAAAGGAAAATTAAACTCCCTGCTAAACAATATTTCACGATACAGGAGAGTAAAAATTAATCGGAAGCTAAATATTTTGATCATTTGTAATAAAGAACTTACAGCACAGCACTAATGTAAAACAGTTCTCTGAAGCAAATTTTAAATAATTGGACCCAAAGTTGTACAGGTTAAGATTTCAAACTCACACATTCAGTCTTTGGCAAAATTTAAAGAGATTTTCTTTCTGCAAAATAGAAAGGCGTCCCATTATATGTAGCTACATTCTTGCCTAAAATTTCCTTTTAAATATTATGTTTAGTGTTGGAGATAGTATTCATGTCTATGTAAATCTATATAGTATATGTATGTATGTACATACATACACATAGACATAATACACACACGCATATATATATGGAAGTGGCAGGTGTGGCTGTCTTCTTACAAAGTTTCAAATTATGTTGAAGGTTTTGTTGAAATAAATATTTACAAACCAAGATACAGACTATTTTACACCCATAGGTATCATAATTTCACCAAAAATTGCTCAGCACAATTTTTGCTCATGCTTTCACTCTTCCTAAGTGAGAAAAAGTAAGATTTTTTTTCCCATGTTCTCAGGAATTACACTTGCTGTACATGAGGAACTGTGAAATTTCATTCATGAGAATTTAAGTGTAAGAAACAGTAGAACTGTGCAAGTAATTTGCAGGATTTTGATTTCATAGTAGTCGAAGTCCAATGTTAAACCAAAACTGGGAGAGAGAAACCTGGGAGAGCAAACCTTTCTCACAGCAGAAATCCCAACCACACCACTGAACACAATTTAAATTATGATTCTAATTAATCTGATGAAACAGATATATTGAGCTGGGTTTTCAGGATCTAAAACATGCATTTGATTTCCTAAATGAAAAGCTATTTAGCTAAATGAATACATACAGAGATTTCAAAAAATGTGCAAATTCCACATGTACTGTATATAAACATCAGCCAGCCAGTCTTTTTAAGATTGGGCTCTCTATATACTGCCAGTTCTCTGTTCCCAAACAGGGAACTACCTCAAGATTTTCTCAGAAAACTAAAATTAAATTTTCAACCACCAAATGTATGCAGATAAACCAGGCAATTGATGTTGGTTGAGTTAAACTCTGGGGTATGTTTTATTTTATTGTAAGCATAAACCATGTTATTTCTGTTTTAATTTGCAGTTCTGTTTCCATGGTAATTATGGCACTGGAAAAAGGGCAAAAAGACTTTTTTTACATAGTAAAAAAATAGAAAACATGGTGTTTGTGCAAGGATGGCGGGGGAGGGGGGAGTGTTTGTGTTTTAAATAGTAATTCTCAGAAGCGATACTTTTTGGTTTTCCTATTTGCATTCAGAAACCTAGAAAGGTTTGCATAATGAAAAAAAATGCCTTCAACCAAGTATATTCTGCAATATTTATCAGTCATGTCTCACAATCAGTACTAGAATCCTAAGCACGGGCACAGTCATTAGTTAGATAGGAGACCTCTAGAGAAAATACAGGAAATTGCAGTCAGTTACACTGGCCGTTTAGAAAGAGGCATGATTTCTTCCTTCAGTATGCAGTGAATTTCTAAATATTACAGAGTAAGATATGCAGGAGTGGCATCTTTTTGCTAAAAAAGGCTGTGGCCATATGCTACCTATAACCACTTTAATTAATTACTGTTCTTGCATATGATAATTGACTGACTTCTAATTGCTATTTACATAAGCTTTCCCCACACTCAAGATTTCGATCCTTTATTTAGACCTTGGCCACATACAGTTGATTTTGATTTTGGCATGGTTGAACAGGGCTTTGTCGGACGAAGCTGACATGTTTAGCTTGTTTCTTCCAAAATTAAAACATGCATGTGAGTTCCCAAATGAAAGGCTACTTACTTACTACAAAAATATACACAAAACAGGTAATTTTCATCATGCGGCAAAAGTGGGTGCCTATTAAAGTAGCTGGGCATCTCTTAAAGCATCTGTCTTGACGGTGGCATATATGTCTTAAAGAGGTTTTCAGTACCCTTTGGAGGTCACACACTCACCGTTGTACCACTGTTACCAGTTATTGCAGTAGATGAACTGGAAGCAGTGAAAACAATCTCTTCAGAAAAATACTTTTGAACTGTTTTTAAAATCAAGCTAGCCGTTAACACTTGCAAGGTAAAAGCAACAACACAAATTCTGAAGACATTCTGGTGTTGTTTTCTTTCTCGAGACTAGGTATGTCAACCAGCACAAGCTGCGTAAGGAATTTGTTTTGCACCACTGAAGTCATTGGTCACATAGGGACCAGACTGATTTTATATATGAGTCTGGAAGAATTGGTCCTGTCTATATAAATTCCCTTTGCAAGGACGTTGTTCTTTCACTTCTTGTCCCATATGTCACCATGTCAACAGTGATATTACTTCTGTGAAGGATGTGTATATGTTACATACTCTGTGACAGTAAACCCACCGAAAGCATAAGTTATTCAACTGCAGTTATTGTGTATTTGCATTGCCAGTGTTAACAAATGGCCATTTTTTTACAAATTTGCAGATATTTGCCTACCTTTACATTTGAATGCAGACTAGAACTCTCTTCTTAGATATTATTTTGCACTAAACTGGCAGATGTTTAACCCCAAGTGTGAAATCTGTCTGAAGTGAAGGCATAGTATCCATATCAAAGCACCTAAATGTAGGTGTCATGTTTTTCCAAGATAGCAAAAAGCCCCAGCAATCCAGTGGATTACAGTAAGAAGTGGAGTTCTTGTAAAAAATCAGTCATTTTTTTTGGAGAAGGGTGTCTGGTTTTACTATCTGAAAGCTACTATAACTGTAGGCACCCAAGTCTGAAAATTCTGGTCTTAGTGAAGTAAGCTATAACAGTAATAACTGTTATTAAAGACATAGAGAAGCAGTTCTGAGGGAAAGAAAGAACACAGATCACATAGTCTTTACTGTAGGTTTACAGAGGATATTACTTCCAAGAAGGTCAGAACACAAGATGTAAAAAAACCCCAGTGATTTCATTATTCATGCCATCTATCTTCATTTGTGGCAGTTTTTTCACTGGGCCCTTCATCCAAACAACAGATGGAATGGACTTTAAAATAGAGGGGGAGGGGGAATAAAAAAGTATTCTCCTGTGCCCAACGAGCAGAGTGTATTTATTTAAAGAAATGCATGAAAGAAAGGAGAAAAATCTGCCCCCAAAAAGGTGAATATTTTAGGTGATTTAGAAAACTGGAAGGTTTAGTGAATATTCTCAGAGTTTTATGTTACAATTATAATATAATAGTAATAATAATATTATAGTATCATGCTTATAATTTGCTTTGCTGTAGCATTCAGAGTATCTTAATCACTACTTCTTTTATAATCAGAGAAAAATATGTTCGTTAGTTCTCTGAGGTGTTCTGCATAGTCCATTTATGGAGCACTCAGTTTCATGTGTCAAGGCTTATGTACAAGCAGGGTCCATTAAGACTGCATAGCCACCCTCTCCCAACACCAAATATTTGAATTAAGATTAGAAAATGATGGTGTGATCTTTCTGCAGAAAACACTGTCCTTTCCTTTCACTTGGCAAATTCTTCTTTTTTATTTAAAACATAAAAAAGCTGTTTTCTTGAGGTCTGAGCAGCACTGTATACTCTTCAATATTTATAATAATTATATTTTAGTGGCAGGGAACTTGATCTTTAAAAGCTTTTATAGCTGCATTTCAGATTGGTAGTGTTTTAGGATATTTGCAATGGTAGGATCTTTTCAAACAGCTATCATGTTTAAGTATAGTAGTTACCTCCCAAGACTTTTAGTCTTTTCAATTTTATTACAAACACAGACTTCAGTACAATGGAAATGTTTACCTCAGTCAGAAATATTATAACAGAAATGTAATAAAATTTGAAATAATTTAAATTTTTTTTGCATGTATTGGTATACAATACAAGTAAAGATGGAACTGAAAATTAGTCTAATTAAGCAGACATCTGGGCAAGCTAGTCTCAAAATCCTCTGCTCTTAAGAACATGATTTCAGAATTGTTCAGTTAACTGTCAGGAAAAGAAGATACTTTGAATGGGAAGAAAATAACTTTTTTTTTTTAAGTTGCTGTTAACCATAATAGTTTTTGCTTTACAGAACTACAAATGAATATAAATATGAGGTTTCACATCTGTTCTGATGACTGTAAGTGGGATACAGGAGTTATGCAACATCATAGTAAAATACTTAAAAATTCTTTTGTAAGCTTGAAGATTTAACTTGTGCTTAACAAAATCATGTTCTTGTACAATTTTTTTAAAAGTGTACTTTAAAAATTTATGTATTTCCCATATTAATCTCCAATGCGTTATCATTAAATCAGTGGTAAAATTAGTATTTGCAGTAAAAATGCAGGATCAAATATTTCTGTACTAATTTTTTAATTTAGCTTACTTAAACATTTTTTTCTAAATTCTGGCTATTTGAACATAGTTGTTTAAGGTGATATTAGATCTAAATTTACTAATTATCCCATTTATAATAACAGTTTTCATTTCCCATCTTACTTACACTTTCGTATTTGATTTCCTCTGTTTGTGTGGCTAAATTCCCTCTAGTTCCTATCGTAGTGTAAGCGAAGTTACCCACTGAAAGGGTAAAGGGATGATAACCTTTGGCAAGAATGGGTAACAAACACTTAAGGATTGTTGGTATCTTCAATTCAAAAAGTGAATTTGACTTTTAGCTCTCGTCCTGCCACAATTATATGGCAAGATTACTCAACTTAAGCTCCAGTGAAAAGGTTTAAATTAGTGTCACTGAAGTCTCAGCTGAAGCAGACAAAGAACGCAGACTTAGGGTGGAAAGTTGCTAAATTGCTGCAACTTGATAATTCTTAATCTTATGCCCATAACTTGATGCATGAAGCCTTTTGAATAGCTAATAATCGAAACTGCAGAAACAAATAAAGTAAAAACACCTTGGCTTTGCTGGGATAGCTTAGAGTTTTAAATGGTTTTCAGACTTGGAATTTTTTTTCTCTTTCAGAACTTTCCAAAAGAAAGATGCACGGGAAATCGAACGTCAACGGACTGCTATGTTCACAGCCAGCGGACACCACAGAAACTGGAGTCCTGCTTTGTATGGCCAAGGCAATACCACTGGTTCAAAAAGTGACAGCACTTTATCTTCTCATACACTTCCCAGAGGTCATGAAAAGAAGAGAGATTATCAATCTCCATCACCACCAATGGGATATCCTTTGGGCTTTGGCGGGATGTTTTCTGAAAAGGGCAGAACAGACAGTTCACTGAGCCCTGCTTACAATGCAGAAGAAATCATATTATTAGTAAGTAACTATTTTCCTATAACACATATATTCTCAAAGATCCATCTGTGGACCAAATGTAGCCCTGGAGCAGCCAAAGATTAGATCACCCCCGCTGTCGTTATTATTTACACAGCGCCAGCCCAGCAAAAATGGAAATACCTTATCCTAACATAAATGCATTTTTTCTGGAGATTAAACATCTCCTACCAGGCCATACCCCTACACTAATAACGATGGTGATAATTACCTGCCATTAGGCGACTGTAAGAGAGATTTCTACCTTTTAGCTCATTGCCTTCTATATTGGGGCACTCTGCTTCATATTGCCTTCTGTAAGGGCACTCTGCTTTAGGTGTATTTCCATAATGCCTGTAAACTTACTGCCTTAAGTGCTGTTAGACAAGTTTCTACAGCATTCCATTGATGGATGAAATTAGAGGAATTGCAGCAACTATTTTCTATGTGTTAGCTATTGTATTCGAAAGGAACAGAAACGATAACTGCTGTAATCTTTATTTTTCTTGAAAGAGTAATAGTTCAGCATTCTTTCTTTCAGTCTTCATAGGCTGGAGATTACCAACCTCCATGCCTAGGGCAACTTCTTAGGAAAAACTTTCCATAATTCTTTAACTTTAGATCTCTCTTTAAATTTGAGCAGTAGTCAGAGAACAGTGAGAACCGCATAGTCCTGGGTGTTCAACCTCACTTCCATTTTCATATTCTTATGGTTCACGGGAATTTTAAGTAAATGGCTTTTGGTTTCTTATGTCTTGAGAGTCTTCCTCTTTAAACTGCTGATCATGAAAAGAATTGTTTGGACTTTTTCAGGAGACTTTAATAAACACCAGTTCTCCTCTCTTCAGTCAGAAGCGTCAGGCAGAGACATCAGGCCTCAAAGCTGCTGCTTCCAGCCAGCCCAGGGAAAACGTCCATTCTGAGATACTTTTGCAAGCTGCAGGGAAACTATTTCCCAGCTGGCACTCAGGACAGGGTCCATGCCAAGGCAGTTGACCAGATTATAAGGAAAACACTTTGCAGCTGGTCTGTGGGCAAAGCACATAATGAAATTATTAAGCAAGGGATATTTCTTGTACAGTGTCTAAGTCCAAATCAGTGACACTGAAGCAGGTGCAAGTTCAGAAGATCACTAAAATTAAATCATCACTCAGATGACATTGGATACCACAGCTTTAGTGCAGAGATGATTCAACAGTCTGTTACTCTAGAGTTCTGTGTTCAAATGGAAAGCCATTGCATCAAGGAGAAAGAGAAAAAAAACATATGTTGTAAAGCAGAGTTCTTTGACAGTTTTCAGGACTGATGTTTCACTTAAGTGAAATCTACAATATGTTCAAAACTTCTGAAGATGTTATAAGGGACCATTTTTCTGAAGAATATTTGTAGCACCCATTGAAAACATCAGAATTGCAGGTGATTTCTTGATATGTACCAAAATTACTCTGTTGGTATTTAGGGAAGTCAGAAAATAGTCTGTAGGACTTTAGACAAAGACTTAAATCTTTCCTCCCAGTAGAGAGTCTTCAGACAACCTTAGTAAATGTTCCACTGGAACCTCTGTCCTTTCATGTTCCTACTTAGAGGTTAAACGTGTAGAGAAAGTCAATCTTGCCTTAGAGTAAACTAGAAAGGTCAGCTGGGATTCACTGGACATTCCTATAACTCCAAAACTTCTTCTTTCAAGGCTTTCCAAATCTAGGGAAATACTTTTTCTCTGAACAGTACTTTGGGGTGAGCTCTCTTTCTGAAACAAACAACTTGAGAAAATAGTTGCTTGATCCATTCCCAATCTCTAGGAAAACTATTCCATATAATAGTCCAAAGTCCAGTTTCAAATTCAATATTTCCCACAGAAAACAACATGTAAATACATAAATAAAATAGGCAATAAGATTATTTCAGAATAGTCCATTTCTACACATTTTCTCAGTTTCCACTGGAGCAAGCAGTTATGTACATTGTGTTTCCCAGTCTGGATCTTTAACTCATAGTCACAATACCTTCTCATGTTTCGTTACAGATGATGGACAGCCATTGTCTGTTGATGCTTTCAAGACTTGGAAAGATAAGAAAGTCTTGAGCTGTAGCAGGAGAATTTAAATTAAGCATCAGGAAACATTATAATGTTAAGGATGGGAAATAATAAATAGATTGCAATCAAAAGTTGTGGAAATTCTACCACTGGACATTATTAGGAATGATTTTGACAGTCTTGAGCCTACCCTGAGGCACGCTGTGGTCCATGCTTCTCACTCTTCGGTATTACTATTACCTAGCTGGTTAGGTACTTAGACCCTCTAAAAACCTTCCTATATGGCTTGACAATTTTCTAGGCCTCTCAATTTTGATTGTCATATATGCACAGAAGCATGTTGAAGACAGGCACGTGTACCTGCTGCCTAAGGTGTATTGCAGTGTAAAGGTAGCAGGGCATAAGCAAACCAGGAGGTTCCTGGAATGCATTGATGATAACTTCCTTCTCTAAGTGACAGAGGAACCAATGAGGAGAAGTGCTATGCTGGACCTCATTCTCACCAACAAGGAGGAGCTGGTGGGGAATGTGAAACTCAAGGGCAGCCTTGGCTGCAATGACCATGAAATGATGGAGTTCAAGATCCTTAGCGCGGCAAAGAGAACTCACAGCAAGCTCACTACCCTGGCCTTCAGTAGAGCAGAGTTTGGCCTCTTCAGGGATCTGCTTGGTAGAGTACCACAGGAGAAAGCCCTGGAGGGAAGAGGGGCCCAAGAAAGCTGGTTAATATTCAAGGATCACCTCCTCCAAGCTCAGGAGCGGTGCATCCCAACAAAGAGGAAGTCAGGTAGGAACACCAGGAGGCCTGCATGGATGAATAAGGAGCTCCTGCACAAACTCAAACACAAAAAGGAAGCCTACAGAGGGTGGAAGCAAGACAGGTAGTTTGGGAGGAATACAGAGAAACTGTGCAAGCAGCCAGGGAACAGGTTAGGAAAGCTAAAGCCCTGATAGGTTTAAATCTGGCCAGGGGCATCGAGGGCAACAAGAAAGGCTTCTATAAGTACATTGGTGATAAAAGGAGGACAAGGGAAAATGTAGGCCCTCTCTGGAAGGAAACAGGGGACCTGGTTATCCATGGTATGGAGAAGGCTGAGGTACTCAATGACTTTTTTGCCTCAGTCTTCACTGGCAAGTGATCTACTGCACAGAAGGCAAAGGCAGGAACTGGGAGAATGAAGAATCGCCCACTGTAGGAGAAGATCAGGTTCGAGACCATCTATCCATCCTATTTGAGAAGTTGTGGCACTCCAGTGAAATTCCCACCAACCTGAAAAGGGGAAACATATCTCATTTTTAAAAAGGGAAAAAAGGAAGACCTGGGGAACTATAGGCCAATCACCTCTGTGCCCCTCACGATCATGAAGCAGATCTTCCTGAAACTATACTAAGGCACATGGGAAAAAAAGAGGTGATTGGTGACAGCCAACATGGCTTCCCTAAGGGCAAATCCTGCCTGACTAATTTGGTGGTCTTCTATGACAGGGTTACAGCGTTGGTGGATAAGGGAAGAGCAACTGACATCATCTACCTGGACTTCTCCAAAGCATTTGACACTGTCCCGCATGACATCCTTATCTCTAAATTGGAGAGACATGGATTTGATTGATGTAGCATTCGGTGGATCAGGAATTGGCTGGATGGTCACACTCAAAGAGTTGAGGTCAATGGATCGATGTCCAAGTGGAGGCCAGTGACAAGTGGCGTTCCTCAGGGGTCAGTATTGGGACTGGTGCTGTTTAATGTTTTTGTCAGCGACATGGACAGTGGGATTGAGTGCACCCTCAGCAAGTTTGCTGATGACACCAAGCTGTGTTGTGTGGTCAACACACTGGAGGGAAGGGATGCCATCCAGAGGGACCTTGACAGGCTTGACAGGTGGACCCATGCAAAAGGTTATGAAGTTGAACAGGGCCAAGTGCACATGGGTCAGGGAAATCCCAAGCAGAAATACAAAATGGACACAGAATGGACTAAGAGCAGCCCTGAGGACAAGGACTTGGAGGTGTTGGTTGTTGAGAAGCTCAACTTGAGCTAGCAGCATGTGCTTGCAGCCCAGAAAGCCAACCGTATTGTGGGCTCCATCCAAAGAATTGTGGCCAGCAGGTCAAGGGAGGTCATTCTGCCCCTCTACTCTGCTCTTGTGAGACCTTGCCTGGAGTACTGCATTCAGGTCTGGGGTTCCCAACACAAGAAGGACATGGAGCTGCTGGAGCGGGTCCAGAGGAGGGCCATGAAGATGATCTGAGGGCTGGAGCACCTCTCCTTTGAGGACAGGCTGAGAGAGTTTGGGTTGTTCAGCTTGGAGAAGAGAAGGCTTTGGGGAGACCTTCTAGCAGCCTTCTACTTAAAGGGTGCCTACGAGAAAGCTGAAGAGAGACTTTTCACAAGGGCAGGTAGTGATAGGACAAGAGTCAATGGCTTTAAACTGAAAGAGGGGAGATTTCAATTAGATTCAAGGAAGAAATTCTTCACTCTGAAGGTGGTGAGGCACTGGAACAGGTTGCCCAGAGAAGCTGTGGATGCCTATCCCAGGGAATGCTCAAGATCAGGTTGGATGAATCATTGAGCAATGTGGTCTAATGGAAGGTGTCCCTGCCCATGGCAGGGAGGCTGGAACTAGATGATCTTTAAGGTCCCTTTCAATCCAAACCATTCTGTGACTCTGTAGGGTCAGAGGAAACTACCCCCAAAAGCCCCCAAATTTAGTCACAGTGAGAATAAAATTAGCCAGAGCAATTTCTGTTCTTGGTGTTACAAGAACTTTCCTGGAAAGCAGAAGGAGTTAAACATGAGAAGACTTTAATACTCTGGTATCTGACCACTCATGATTTGACCACTAAATGTTAGAATATCCCAAGTGTTAAAGCTTTCTTGCTGCCCTGCTGAAGTTGCATCAAAAAATGCTGAGACATGGGGCAAGAAAAAGATTAACTCCAGGCAAATTAATTAGGCAGTCTGCAAGAAA